TAACTTGTTTTTGCCCCGTGAAGGTACTCGAGCAACGTATCTTTTCATAATAGTGTTCTTATTTCTTAATTTTTTATGTTTGGGTTCAGAAAATCTTATTAACGTATCTGCTGTGCAATCTTATGATGTTTGAATAAGAAATCTACTCTAACCAAAAATAATATTTTTTATGGAAAACTAACCAAAACACCTAAAAAAACTTTCTTTTTAACCATCAGGACAAAACTTAGCAAAAATGCCAATCATGCCCTTCACACATGCATACAAGATTGCTCAGCAATGAAGGTGACACTTTCAGAAAAAAATTTGCATGGCACAGCTAAGGTGGCAAACATTGCAGCAACCAAGACAATATGGGTTCACGTGGCTTTCATCAATTTTCAGAACAGTGCTGACAGCTTTCAGAAACAATGTGTTGTCACTATCTAAAAAGTTGTAAATATTGGAAAGTTATTTTGTTTTGTTTAGGAATCAGCTTTTGTATATAAGGGAGCTTTCCTCCCATGCTGACACGTTCTGGCTGCACTTCCAACTATTTTTATTATTTTAAGTTTTCCTCTCTGTATTAATTAATTCTTCAAATTATCAGTTGAAAGTGTCCCTATAAATAAAAAATACAAATTGCTCCGGATAATTGTTCCAAATCTATCTGGGTAATCAAAAGGGCTTGTTTATATTGTTTGTTAAGATAAACAAAGGGTTTTAAGGGTGTGCTTCTTTGCAATAACTAATCTTAATTTAATAGGAAAATTAACGAAAAGTCCAAAAAAGCTTCTCTTTTAATGAAAAACTATTTTTAAAGGTATAGTAAATAGTACCAGGAAAATGTATAAATGTGGTTTTTCGTTAAAAATAAAAATACCGAAAGTCTTTTGTTAAAACTCGTTAATTTAATAGATTGGACTAAGTGTTAATGTAGTTCCGTGTTTATTATTTGCGTGGACTAACTTTAATAGCATTAGGAGAGACTTGCCTTGACTAAACAACTCGCTAGACAGTCTTAGCGAGACTAGGGATGGGCAAATACCTATCGGTTATGGGTAACCACGGTTACCAGCCCATTTAAATATCACGGTTACGGTTATGGGTAACCGTTTAGATAAATAAACGGTTATGGGTATAACCGTTTACCCGCGAAATTTAAATGGGCGGTTATGGGTATTAACCGAGGTTATAAACGGGTAACCATTTACTCATTTATTTTATATATGTAAAATTAACACAAACCATGTTCCCTATCGGACAAAACTTAGATCAATGCTATTGACTATAGTGCATGATTTCTATAGCTAATATAATATAGTTTTCCTTAACCATTTTAAATTTCATGGTCCATTATATATATTATGTTAATATTTTACATTCCGAGTCAAATAACCCAAGAATACTATCTTTTAACAATTTTCGTAACCCAAGAATACTTAGCAAATTTTATATTACCTTCATTGCTAACAATTAAAAATATCGTCTGTAAACTATTATTTCAATTATTGGAATGGTATACGGACTTAAAAAATTAAAATGCAGAAATGTATGATGAATGTACCTATAACGGTGTTTAATTGTTAGAAAAACAAAATTATGACAAATTTTTTTTTTTAATTTTCAAGTTGTTAAAAAAAACACGTAGACGGGTGAAAAATGAGTAAATGGTAAAAAAGAAAGGATAAACGGGTTTAAAAATGATAAATGGGTAAACGGGTACTAAACTGTTACGGTTAAATGGGTATACGGTTATGAGTATGGTTAACCGTTTATAAACGATTATGGGTATGGGTATAACCGTTTAGACAATTATCCAACGGGTAAATGGTTATGCGAATATGAAAATAAACGGTTATGGATAAATAACCGCAGTTATCCGTCCACCATAATCATTGTTCATCCCTAAGTGAGACCTCCCCCAAAAAAACAAAGGATTGCTAAGACCATCGCTGCTTCTCTTCACCAAAATCTACTTCGTTTCCCAGGCAAAAGCTCATAAAGCACCTCCCCAAACCCCTTCCAAAACCCGGTGTGCAATAATACGGTGATAAACATGGCCTTGATCGGTGTGCTCATTGCACTAAGCATAATATCGATTAAGCAGCAAAATGACATCGAATCGCTGAAGGTAGAGAAGGCGTCGCTCATCAAGTTGAACAAGGCTGTGAAGCAGACCTTGTGGGACTGAAAGTAACAGCTCTTTACGATGCCTCCGCCGCCGATCCGCCCTGGTTCCGCTTAATTTTCAGGCTCAAAGCCTTCTACGGCGAAGCCCTAGTTTCACAAATAATTGGTGAGGTCGTGAAGAAGGAAACCAAAATCTGCTGCCTCCAAAAGCATCTCCAAGGAAATGTCAAAAAGTCCACATCAGTAATAACGGTAAAAGAAAAAAGACATTATTAGTGTTTTCCAATCGAAATGTCAATTCCTATTTAGCATGACATGAAAAGGCAGCAAATGAAGTTGTTGTCAAATTTGACAACCGCTTCAAATCTCTTTTTAGTAATTAATAAATGTTTTTCATAATTTTTATACTTATCTTTTGTTTTAAAATACTAAACAACTATAAAAAGTAAATAATGTAACAAAAATTTGACATATTGATTGGAGAACAAAATTTATAAGAAGATTAATGTGCCACATAAGCCTTCAAATTTAAATTTTATGTTTAAAATTTGACATCTCTTTTGGAGATGATCTAATGAGTTTTTTTTTTTTTTACAAATTTGAGTCTATTATAAGTCAATTTAGCTTAGTCTCTAAAATTAATCTAGTTTGAGATAGTCTGGTGAAATAAAAGCACCCTTAGTATATGGGTTGTTGAGTATTAAATAAAAGCTTGCCCAATTTATTTGTTCAAAAGAGTTTTGAAACAATTATTTTCAGTAGATAATGGACGGAAACTTTTATTATTGTTGGGATTATAATCTAAAGTTTAGAGATCAAGAAAAGGAAAAGTTGACGTACACAATCTCTTATTATTGTCGTCTGCTTTATATAAACATGAAGAGTAATGTGCCAATTTGATTCTTAAATATTCTTCTCAAATAAAAATTAAGTGCCTAAATTATTAAAAAATACGTCTAAATTCATTATAAATAGGCAATCTCCCCTTTATTATTAGATGCAAAACTATTGATCTATTCAATTTCTCGTTAATTAAGTTGCATAACTTGCATTACATGTAATACACTTTAAAGGGTAGAATGAAAGTTTCTAAAAATTTAAGGACTTGTTTTTTCTTCAAAAAATAGGTATGAAGTTAATTTTATAAAGCATTAATATAAAGTAGACGAAAATAGTGTGTTGAGCACAAGATTTATGGTGGTATGGTACGGACACTAGTTGGTAGCTTCGTTGTTTTAAATAGTTGAACATAAAATTCATGGTAGTATGGACACTAGTTGGTTACTCTTCAGAGTCGGTTTTGGTAGATGTCCCCTTGTTCATTATACTACAATTTTTGTGCACAGAAATTTACCAAATCGCCAAGTGTTTGACTTTCAATCAACAATGGAGATCTTTTGGTTTTGGCTTTGGAGTGTCATCTAAGTCTTTTGAGTTTAAGTGTGGATGATTTTAAGACTTGAATACGTTCATTAGCTTGTTCTCAGACATGTCTTTCCCTCAAATTCACTAGTACGGTGGCAGCAAGTGACTGATACTTTGTTACAGCTAGTAGTAATGTTGATTTTGTTACCATGATATGTATAGGAGGCCTTTAAGGGAAGGATCCCCATCTTTTTAAAATAGGGATTAGTTGTGGGGTCCACACCATATTGAACTTTAACAACCTGAATCGTTTATTTTTTAAATTGCACCTCATAGATCATCTTTACAAAATATTAGCCAAATCGAAAATATTTGATGTCACATCCTGGCCCGGGCCCCCACCACATCCCGAGCTTGACTTTACCGTAGAACGATATTGTCCGCTTTATGCCCCGACCACGCCCTCATGGTTTTGTTTCTGGGAACTCACACGAGAACTTCCCAGTGGGTCACCCATCATGAGATTGCTCTCGTGCGAACTCGCTTAACTTCGGAGTTCCGATGGAACCCGAAGCCAGTGAGTTCTCAAAAGACTTCGTGCTAAGTAGAGATGAAAATATACATATAAGGCTTATAGGATCCACTCCCATGGCGCGATTTGGGATGTTACAATCCATCCCCTTAGGGCCCCGATGTCCTCGTCGGCACACTTCCGGCCATGGATTGGCTCTGTACCAAATTGTCACATCCTGGCCTGGGCCCCCACCACATCCTGGGCTCAACTTTGCTGTAACACGATATTGTCCGCTTTGGGCCCCGACCATGCCCTCACGGTTTTGTTTCTGGGAACTCACAGGAGAACTTCCTAGTGGGTCACCTATCATGGGATTGCTCTCACGTGAACTCGCTTAACTTCGGAGTTTTGATGGAACTTGAAGCCAATGAGTTCCCAAAATGCCTCATGCTAGGTAAAGATGAGAATATACATATAAGGCTTACAGAATCCACTCCCCTGGACGATGTGGGATGTTACATTTGACGTAGCTAACGGAGTTCAAAGAAATGGATGAACACTTTGTTCTTTAAGAAACATTAAAATTTCATCATGATAAATAGGCAAATGTTTTCAAATTGAATTGAATTTTTGCAAAGATATTAAATGAATCGAGACTTACAAACAGATAGTTCAGATCATTGGGGTTTGATGTGACGTGGGGCCCCACAACTAATTCTCATTTATTTCAAAAAATGAGGATCTCTTCTCTTAAGGGGCATATATATATATATATATATATATTAAAGTAGACTCTGTAATATACACTTAGGGAATTGTATGATTAATTATTACTTAGTTAGGTTAAGCCACCTAGATCTCTCTACACACAGAAAACACATGCCCACACACGCCATGCTGTGGAAGTTGACTATTCATTTTCCTCAGCCATCTTATTATAATGCATGTTTAATTTGATTCTTTACAGACGAGCCAGTTCTTTAAACAATTGCATAATTAAGTGCACTCGCATAATCGATCCTACATTTTAATATGACGTCTGTTTGTGTATATATATACCAGAAATGGTCATCTCACTTTCTAAGCAAAATTGGCATCCGGTAGCGCAACCCCAAAGTAATCAGTAAAAGATGTTAGCCTTGTCTCCTCCTATGTTTTCAACCATTGGATGGCCCATAGATCAAGATCCTACAAGCCACGATTACTACAAGGACCATATTACCACTACTAATGATCAAACTGCAGAGTCATCCTCCCTTCGTATACTTCCATCTGGTCGCCCACAGTCTGAGCTTGATGTTTCCACACCATCCACAACCATAAGAGGCGAGTGCTCCAGCGTTTCCCCGGTGGCTAAGAAGCTTAACCATAATGCTAGTGAGCGTGATCGTCGCAAGAAGATCAACAGCTTGTATTCCTCATTGCGTTCATTGCTTCCTGCGGATCAACCGGTACGTAGCAAAATGAATTCGTTCATTAACATATGATACAAGAGAAACTACTATGGATTAATTTATTGCTAGTTTACTAATCTGTAATCAAATTGAGTAGAATTGAATCGAGGAGGAATTAAAATAAGCTACAGTCAGAATCAGATTTCTGTTGAAACTGATTACTAATTTCGTTTGGAATCGGAATAGAAATCATATTTATTTATATAAGTTGTTTATGTAAACACATGAATCAGAATGAAAACCAATGTAATTATTAAAATGCCCATATTCCAAGTAATTTTTTTTTTAATATTTTTAGTAAAAATTTAATTATTTTTTATTTTTAACTTTGTAAGAAATACAAATGTTTTTTTTTTTTGGGGAAATGCTGAAAAGATCTTTATGTAGTTAATATAAAAATAAATAAATAAAAAACTCATCAAAAGAGAGCCCCTCCTTGGACCATCTCCGACTCTTGAGGTTAAAACCTAAAATTTTTAGCTCAGAAACAACTCTTTTTGCTCCAACCCTTATGAGTTAAAATTTTAGCCCCAGATTATTAAAGAATGAATTTAGTTTTTTATTTTTCTTATAGTAACTTTTTTAAAATAAAAAATTATGTAAACTATCATAAATTAATTTTATGAACATTTTAACCAAAAAATATTTAGATTCCAATAAATATTGAAAAATCACTAACTGACACTATGAAACTCGTGAAACACTCTGAAATAATATGGAACACATAAAATATTTTTTTAAATTACTTTAGCCTTTAAATTTGGACCGTTAGATCTTTTTTCTTACTGTTGGATTTCATCAAATTAGATTTTAACCATTGGATTCAATGAATTTATAAATATAAAACTAAAAAATATATACATATATGGTGGGTCAGCCTCACTAACCCAGACGGAATCCTGGGCTAAATTTGGTCCAAAAATGAGTTTTGAGTTTTAACTCATATTTGCCCCAAGGGTTGGAGCAAGTTGAGGTAAGTTTATAACCTAAAATTTGAGTTTTACTCTAAGGGTTGAAGTAGGTCTTACTCTGTGATGCCCTTCATCACCATCCCCCAATTCTTTTTTCTTTCTCGTGTCGCTGCCCATAGGGACGCAGAGAAACAGATAAAAAGGTGGAAGGGATAATGAGGTAAGGGTATTTTGGGATGAAAAAGATGATTCTAGATGGTGACTTTTTTGTTTTTGTTTCTGTCAGACGATAGATTTTTTAGATTAGGAAGTCGACATGATTCGAATCCATGCCGTGGTACAAGGACAACAATCATCTTCACCACTGTGGTAGAGGGCCACTTGCAGATGGAGACTTTTTCTTGAAATTCAAATCCTACCTATTATTTGAGAGTCTAATGATGGGGAAATTGGGAGTTTGATTCTCCTTTCATTCTAGGGAAATTGGGAGTTTGATTCCCAATTTTTATTCCCAAGTGTTGGTAAACACTTGAATAACTTGGAATGAGTGCAATTCTCATTCCACTGATCCCACTCCCCTTAAGTAAGGATAATGTTAGAGAGACTAAATTTGTAAACAAAATTTACAAACTAAATGGTGTGTCACCAATAGGAAAGAACATGTTTATCAACGCTTAAGTGATAATCCAATCATCAACTTCTATGTGATTTAGTTTACCAAATTTTGTCCCTTAAATTATAAATTAAAAGAGTAATGCTAGGTAGAATAAATTTACAAACTAAATTGTACATCACCAGTTAGAAATAAACATGTTAATCAACATTTAAGTAATAATTTAATCATCAACTTTCATATCATTTAGTTTACAAATTTAGTCTTCCTAGCGTTACTCAAATTAAAACGTTAGTTTACCTTATCAAGAATAGTCCAAATCAATAGTCTGACAAGAGAACTAGTAAATTTGCAGATAGAGTAACTGTTGATTTCCAGCCTGAGCTTTCACTTAGCTTTTGATTTTCCACCTAAACTTTTAAATTGGAAAATTAAGGACTCAAATTATTTTTTTTTTGCCGATTTCCCCTGCTGTTAGTTTTTCATTCATTCTATCCAAATTTCCATTAAATTGAAGTATGTACACAACATGTGAGGGTAGTTCGGTGACTTTGTTCTTTAAAATAATTGAAAACCTTAGATTTCTAAAATGTCAACCTATGCAAATCTGTGATTTTATCACTGTTCTAAAAATCCCAGCCTAGCACCGCCTAGGCGCTAGACGGCTGGCCACTGCCCCGATTAATGCCTAGGCATTTGAAAATTAAGAAAGACGCCCATACCTGCTGGCGCCCGCCTAAACCACCTAGTCACCCGCCTAGCCCGCCTTGACTCACCTAGGCACCTGCTTAGGTCGCAACTCACTTTGATAGAAAATAGATAACTTTAATTTTGCATTTTATTTTATTTTTTCAATAAATTGTAAGAGACTTGTTCAATACTTAAATGAACACATATTATATGTTTGTTCTCCATGTTTTCATTATATTTCAATACTTTATAATATATATCATTCTATTTTATAGTTTATGATGAAGTCATATATATATTCAAGTATAAGCACACACTTACTTATACGAAATATAACAGATTTACTTAAATCCGTCTAGTCGCCTAGAGTTTTTTAGAACCTTGGATTTTATAGCTTTGGTGTTTGAAGGTCTAACGAAGTGACGATTTCATCCTCAAAGGAGAGTCACGTGGTGTGCACATAATAAAAATTAATGTTAATTTGGAATCTATGGAAAACTAACGATAAGGGGGAAATCGGCCAAAAAAAAAATTTAAATCCTTGATTTTCCACTTAAAAAGTTTAGAAAAGAAATAAAAAACTAAGTGATTGTTCAGATGGGAAATCCACAGTTTACCGTCTGCAGATAATAGTAAATTAGTTTTCATCGATATTATTAAAAAGACTGCTGCTATTCGCACACCTAAAAAGTCATCACTCTCTCCTTGTAAAAAATAAAAAATTTCTTCTTAAACACTGGAAAACAGCGAACCTACTCACAGTTCGAAAATTTTGTTCCATGTCATAGTTACAGAAAAAGTTGAGCATTCCGAATACAGTTTCGCGTGTGGTGAAATACGTCCCGGAGCTCCAAAAGCAAGTGGAGGGATTAATTCGAAAGAGGGAGGAGCTTTTGTCAAGAATAACTAAGCAAGAAAGTGCATTGCATGAGGAGAAGAACCAAATAAAAAGTGCAGCTCGGAGCTCCTTATCTGCTGTTTCAGCATGTCAGCTTAATGACAGAGAAGTAGCAATTCAAATTTCCTCCTTGAAGACCAAAAACAATTTATTATCTGATATCTTGCTAAATTTAGAGGAGGAGGGGCTTCAAATCCTAAATGCTTCTTCCTTCGAGTCGTCTGGAGGGAGGGTTTTCTATAATTTACAATTTCAGGTACTTACATTTATGTAAAATTGAGGATCTTTTACTATTTTGATGTTCATACTACATAATTAATGACTTCTGTCTGATATATTTTATGTGTTTGTATGTATCATTTGATAATTACACAGGTGGAAAGAACTTACAGACTAGAATGTGAGAGTTTAAGTGACAAGCTCATGTCCTTCTATGGACAAGAATATTAAGCAAAAGAGTAATTTCCATAAGAACTTTTTGCCGTAGAGATGCAACGATTAGTGGCTGGCTCAGTTGGGTTAACTTACTGCGGAAGGAGATATCCATCTGAAAAGGCAAAGTTTGGGAAGGTGTGGTGACAGTGTTGCCTAAAAGATTGTTCTTTTTGCTGTGGTGGTTTGAGGGTTAATGTGACTCCAAAAATTGGAATCTATTGTAGTAGAAAAGTAGGAGAAGTGATAGTATTATGTGAATACATGGACTGTACTCTTCGGGAGTTTTTAATTAATATAGATTTTCTATGTATAGGATTATGTTGAAATTAATTCTCACATGTAAGAAATTTGACCTTCCCCTCCTCTCATTCGGGATAACCCCAAGGTCAAATGTAGGTAATTTTATAAGTGTATATAAATATGAAAGAGGTAGAAATCACCACTATGATTAGTAGTATATGATAAATGATCTTGTGGAGACATAAGTTAACCACGTCTAATAGAAGAAGGATATATGGACAATATGATATGACGGTTTTACTCTTGACGTCATGAGTAGATCATAAATTTACCCTAAGGGAATAAGATGTAGGGCTGGTTTGGTATTGCTGTGCTTTGAAAAAAAACTGCTGTGAAAATAAGCGGCTGTGAAATATATCTGCAGAGTGTTTGGTAAACTTTTTTGTAAAAGTGCTTTTGGAAAGAAAAAAAGCAGTCTAATAGTGGGTCTTTTCATTAAAGAAGCACTGTAGCTCCGTGTGCTTTGAAAAAAAGCCAGTTTTCCAAAGCTGCAAATAGCAGCTTCAGCTTTTTCCTTTGATTTCAGCTTATTCTCACAACAGCTTCCAAAATAAGCCATTTTTTTTCAGTTTACCAAACACCTAAAACCCTCACAGCTTTTTTTCATGGGTGCTTTTTTTTAAGCACCTCACTCTCAAACTAGGTCGTAGTGTGTCCTATGATAATTGGGCTTTTATCCCACTAACACACCATGGGCTATCTGAGCTGCCTATGACACATATTAGGGGCTCTTTGGACTGTCCATAATACGTCCTGCTATCAGGCTATACTTAGTCCAGTGGTAGCAGGGCACTGACTCTATGGAGTCTCCCTTTAGGTGTTCGGCGCACTTGCACTCTTACCAACATGGACATTTAAGAATGCTAGCAGGAAAAATTGCAGAGACTGGTTTGTATCATCAAGAATTTTGTATAGTATGCTCTGCAACCTCCCTTCCCAACTGTTTGCTAGGGTTTCTTCCAGATAAATAGTCAAGTCAAGAAGAGAAAATGGTAACGCCACTTACTACTTAAAGCTCTCTCAAGTTCTCTTTGTCTCTGTGTTGCTTTTTTGATTTAGGCATTAGAGGCCCATTGGTGGACACCCTTTCCCCTTTTCAGGATGAATAATTGGGCTTTTATCCCACTAATGTACCATGTGTTGTCCGGGCCGCCCATCACACATATTATGGGCTCTCTGGGTTGTCCATAATACGTCATGCTATTGCCATCCTCAGTCCAATGGTAGTAGGGCACTGACACTCTGGAGTCTCCATTTAGGTGTTTAGATCACTTGCACTCTTACCAACAGGGACTAAATCTTTAGGAATGCTAGCAGGAAAAATTGTAGAGATTGGCTTGTATCATCAAGAATTCCTTATAGTATGCTCTGTTCTGTGGCCTCCCCTCCCAACTGCTTGCTAGGATTTCTTCCCTATAAATAGCCAAGTCAATCAAAGGAAACGGTAATGCCACTTACTACTTAAAACTCTCTCAAGTTCTCTTTTCTCTATATTGCTTTTCTGATTTAGGCATTAGAGGCCCTTTGGCGGATAGCCTCCCCCTTTTCAGGGTGTTCGTCAATTAGGCTAGTGGCATTTGTTTTCTTGTAGTTGAAATATGTATTCACAAATCTAATTTAAAATAATAATAAAATCTTATGCATACGATGTGGTAGTTTAGTGATTAAGGTATACTCTAGATCACCATATATTTTTTGCAACGTGCATATTTAGTAAAACTTATAAACGAGAGCATGGTAACCCAAAGACCTAATATGCATGATCTATATATATGTTTTTGATAAACTATGGGCGTGTCAAGGGTTTAGTGCGTTTTTTCGATCTAATTGTGTAAAACCATTTTATGAATGACAATGAATTATGCCGAGAATTATTGAGAGAATAGTTGACTTGACATACAAATTAATGAAATCTCTACTAGGACTCTCGGTGCCTTAAGGAAATAAACATATTGGAGTCCTAATTACATGCAATCAATTAAGGGCCATTAATAAGTAAATACAAGGAATGAGAGTCATGATGGGGATCTAATTGATTTGACATGATTTGGGTTGATATCCTTTCCGACAATAGGAAGGAATTGGTTGAAAACCCTAGCTATAAAACCAAGGAGCAGTCCATGTTTCCATACCAATTGAAACTCACAAAAACTACAAACCTATTTCGATAGTAGAGTTCATTGAGAGGTACTGGAAGTAGAAGACTACTTCTACTTTGTTCACTTTGTTCGCAAGGATCAATGGCTTCATCTTCATAACCATGTCTTCTGTATTCTACAGATAAGTTTAATATAATTAGTCGATCTCTATTTTATATTGATTTGATTTATTCGTGATCCTAATGTCTTGTTGTTGTGATTTCAGAATATGTCTTACATGTGGTATTAAAGCCACACAACAAGCTTAGGATTTGGATGAAAGAGAGCCGTGATATAATTCTATTTGGTATGATTCCTATTGACTATATATACGGACTGCTCTCGGTGGTCAGTCTGGTGACTATAGATACTGCTGCCGCTAAGTAGTATTCATGAAATTTAATTTTTTATTATTTTATTATTTTTTGGCTCTTTTATGGATAAGGCATAAAGAAGTGAGTTTGCTCAGGTTTCTTTGTCTCCTATAAACCCTAAAATTAAAAATAAATATATATTTTGGTTCGACTAATCGTGCTCTAGTGATACAATTCTGGGGTTTTTCTTGCTTCCGCTTATTCCGATATAAACTAGCCTTTAAATTTTTTAAAATTGGTGAGTTTGCTTATATTCATATTATTTTGAGTTGATGGATCAAATTAACCTTATGGATACTATTTTCCTGGGTGAGCCATCAAATAGGATTTTATCGGATTTCATGCTTCCGCTCACTCCTATTCTTAATATGAAAATTCTAATGATATTTTATTGAATGGAAGAATTGCATTAGGCATGTTGCAATTTTCTAATTATATAAGCATATGCTCATGATTAAGAAAACTTATATGAAAGAACCTTTTATAATTGAGGGAAAATAAAAGGAGCTGCAAGTTTTGGTTTTATGTTCTCATGGTTTATATTTAGTTTTGAATACAATATAATATCTGCAATTTTACACTTGCTTTATCAAAAATTGAGATGCATTTGTAAACATCATGACACAAATGTTTTATGCATGCTCTCGCTTGTCAAGTTTTCTAAGTCTTCAAATGTCAATTCCACGATAAAGGTTTTGGGATCTTTCGACTACTTTTAATTTCATTTGATTCCAATTCCATCCATAATTTTGAATAATAGATTAAAAGGATAGTAGTGTGACCCTTGTATTGAAAATTGATATGGTTAATAAATTTTAAAATTTGATTATATAGACTTTAAGCAAAGTTGTCTAAATGACTAAATCCTTTTCTTTTACGGTGAAAAGGGATGCCTTGCTTGTTGTAATCACCAAAAGAATGAAATTTTTTCGTTACCTATTTGCATTTTGTGTAGCAAATATATAGTGAATGGTCATTGTTTAGCCAAATTCTCATCAATGCATATTTAATTATCTTATTTTATTATGATCTGATTAGAAGGTTTTGTAAATTTCACTCACCACTCCAGAACAATAATTTGATAAATTTTCCTAACTCCAATTTTGATGAAATATGTCATGTTATATTCTGCAAATGGAAAAATTTTCACATCTTCGGACAAGAAATTGATTTATGGTAAAAATTTAAGTGTTACACTATGTTGCTAGAATTCTGTATTTGTGATAGTATTTTGATATATCTATGTAACTCATAAATTCATAAACTTTTAGTACAATATACATTGAGATGTTCATTTCAGGTATGGAAAAATTTTCACGCGCATTGGTTTGAAAATGACTTATTGGTGAATTTTTAACCTCGGGACTACACTGCAAAATTTACACACAGCTTCTGCAGCACATTTCATTTCGATTTTATTTTTAGCCCACTTTTAAGATAGGAAAATTATGGAACTTTGGGTGACAGTAAATTTATATGTCTACTTCATTTCTGAAAATTTTCAAGCATATTGGAGAAAAAATGAATTTTTTGTGAATTATTTAATCTCCGGTATGTACTGCAGAATTTTTGCCATTTCTGTAGCATATCTCATTTCTAATTTTCTTTTAGTACACTTTAAAAGTCTCACAAATTATGAAATTTTGGGAATTAACAGATTTTTATGTTTACTTTATGTCTGAAAATTTTCATGCATATCGGATGAACAATGAATATTTGGCGAATTTGTAATCTTAGGTCTGTACTGAACTGAACATTTTCTGCAGTTTCTGCAGCACCTCTCTTTTCGAATTCATTTTTGGCTCACTTATAAAATTTTAAAAATCATGAAATTTTGCGAAATAGTAGCCATATATGTCTAGTTCATACTTGAAAATTTTCATGACAACCTAACAATAATTGAGTTTTCAGTGAATTTACAAAATAATTTAGTACTGCTGAATTTTGGGACTTCAAACAACTGGTTATGTTCCGAGATATTGTTTCATTGATTTGTGCGCATCTATTGGTACCGTTATTAGACAAGTTTATAGTTCCAATATGTCCTTATTTTATGCAAATTCTCAATACCAATGACTTTTATTAGGCAACAATGATTAAGTTTTGATTTAAAGATGTATTGGTTTATTTTGCTCAAACCAATGTTCTGTTTGGTCATCAATTTTGATTATGATGATCATTGTCTTTTGAGCCAAAAATTGGAAAGTGGCATCAATTTACTAATTGATGATTTTGGTCCCTATCGAATAACTAAATAACTATGTTTCCTCTTTCGAGAACTTTATTGTTCAATGTCAATAACAACATACTCTTGTGTCTGCTTTAATCTTTTGAGAATCATTGAATATCCAACAAAACGGATTATTTAATATTGTTCTAAATGATTATTTTGAAAAATCAGAATTCTAATTTATATGGTAAATACTTTTGTCCTAAAGGGAATTTTAGGAAATCATTTACCAATTATAAATTAGTATTATAGCAAATCATAAAGTACTTCTAACATATTTTCAT